TTGAAGTTTTTTGATGATCATCTTCTGGAATGACTCTTCCAGAGAATGTTGATGTTGGAGGTTCTTCTTCATATCGTATCTTCATTCGTTTTCTGGGTAGCCAAATTAGGCTTCGATCCTCTGTATAAACACAAACAAGCCCCTTGCCCCCACTTTGATATGCCCTTTATACCATTGTGAAGAATCTGTTGGAGATCACCACACAGGAACTGCCTTTTTCTCTTTTTTTTTTTTTAAGAGAAAGGAATATTATCAGAAAAATGTACTTCCATAACTGATCATCTGACACCCTTTAAATGATCAAAATTAGGGATATTTAAAGCATGCATTAATCGGTGATTTGCAGTTAGTTTTATCCTATCAGGGAGTAATCCCCCTTTTCTTTCTTTTTTTTTTTATCATTAATCTACAATTACTGTGTATTTATTTTATAAAGGCAGCATTTGGATAGGTGTATATTGCCCAGTTTATTCTTACCTTGTTTTTCTAATAATATTTATCTCCACTTCAGCCTCCATCTCTTTTAAAGTATTTCTTAGTGAACAGTGTCCCATTTTGACAGGCTTTCCCTATAATTGCTACCATTCTAAAAAGCTGACATCTAAAGAGTTTTTTGTTGCCCACATGTCTGTTATTCTTACACAGTTTGTTTACATTTTGGAATCAGTATATGGAAAGAAATCTACATTGGGTCTGTTTTCTTTCCTTTGTCCCATTTCTTTCTCTAGAAATTAATGTTTCCATTGTTGCAGATTACCACATTCAAGTTCAAATCAACGGATCAAGTCCTCAGTGGGATAATTTGGAGAATGGAGTGTATAGTGAAAAGAAAATATTAAGATTCACAAGTAATGATTCCATGTCTGTTTTTCAAGAGAATCAGAAAATTCATAACATTGGAGATGAGCCCCAAACCGAGGAGAGACATTTGAGGTGAGTGGCACCCCTACAGGAGGAAGGGGAATCTCACTAGAGTGTAAGAATGACTTGACATTAAAAGAAACGTCTAAACCTAACTCAGTAATTGTGTACTCAGATAATTTTTATAAGATAGTATTTACATAATGTGAAGTAGATATCAAACATCTGAAGCATAATTCAATTGGAAACAATGATAAGGAAAACCACATAGAAGAAAGTTATGGCTATATTTGAGCCCTCACCCAGAGCATTAAGCTTGTTCCACTCTATTATAACAATGCAGATGGTTCCACAAACATACCCATCCATTGAGAATAGCCAATATGTACTCAAGCTAATCATTAAGAACCATGAATAAATCATAAAGAAATAACTTACAGTAAATAATCCCTAATAGTGTGCTTCCTATTTTGAACAGAAGCCATTTCTTGGAGAGAGTCGGTGAAAATGATGAAAGTAATCAATGTGGAACAGCCCTGAATCAGGTTCCAAGTCTTCCTGTGCACGAGTCTTATCCTACTGGAGGTAAACCCTATGAATGTACCATTTTTGGAAAACCTCTTATGAATTATTCTTTGCATAAAGAGCAGCACAGATCTCACACTGGACAGAAACCTTATCAGTGTGATGAATGTGGACAAGCCTGTAGCTGTGTCTTATGCCTAAACACTCATGTAGGAACTGACATTGCAGAGAAGTCCTATAAAGGTCAGAGTAACGAGATAGAATCTAAGAGATATGTGAAGTGTCTCACTAGTAGAAAATCTTTTGAATGTAAGAAGTATGAAGAAACTTTCACAAGCCTCTCATCCTTGCAGGGACGTGTGAAGGGTCACCATGGACAAAAAATCCATGCTTGTGTAGTGTGTGGGAAAGCCTTTATGTATTACTCCTACCTTACACGGCATGAGCAAAGTCACACTGGAATGAAGCCCCAAGAATGTAAGCAGTGTGGGAAAGCCTACAGCAGTTCCTCATCCCTTCAAGTACATGTGAGAACACACACTGGGGAGAGACCCTATGAGTGTAAGCAGTGTGGGAAAGCCTTCAGTTGTTACTCCTACCTTCGAGAACATGAGATAACACACAGTGGAGATAAACCCTATGCATGTAAGGAGTGTGGCAAAACCTTCAGTTGTCCCAAATATGTTAGAAGACACAGGAAGACACACAGTGGAGTGAAACCCTATGAATGTTCAATATGTGGGAAATCCTACAGTTGCTCCTTATCCCTGCAAGAACACGTGAGAACGCACAGTGAAGAGAAACCCTACGAATGTAAGGAGTGCGGGAAGGCATTCAGGCAACCTCGATGTTTGCAAAGACACGTGAGAATGCACAGTGGAGTGAAACCTTATCAGTGTAGGGATTGTGGGAAGGCCTACACTTGTTCCACATCTCTTCAGGAACACATGAGAACCCACACCGGGGAGAGACCCTTTGAATGTCTGCAGTGTGGGAAAGCCTTCAGTCGTCATTCCTCCCTTCGAGTCCACGTGAGAACTCACAGTGGGCAGAGACCTTATGAATGTACACAGTGTGGAAAAGCTTTCCGCTGGCCCTCATCCTTGCAAAAGCACGTGAGAAAGCACAATGAAGAGAAGCCCTATGAATGTCAGCACTGTGGCAAAACCTTCATGTACCCTGCAAACCTGCAGTCACATGTAAGGACACACACTGGGGAGAGGCCCTATGAATGCAAGGAGTGTGGGAAAACCTACACTTGTTCCTCATCCCTTCAACTACATGCGAGAACCCACACTGAGGAGAGACCCTATGAATGTCTAGAGTGTGGGAAAGCTTTCTGGTATCCCGCACACCTTCAAGTCCATGTGAGGGCACATACTGGGGAGAGGCCCTATCAATGTCAGCACTGTGGGAAAGCCTACAGGCATCCTGCAAAACTGCGAATCCACGTGAGGACACACAGTGGGGAGAGGCCCTATGAATGCAAGGAGTGTGGGAAAACCTACACTTGTCCCTCATCCCTTCAACTACATGCGAGAACCCACACTGAGGAGAGACCCTGTAAATGTCTAGAGTGTGGGAAAGCTTTCTGGTATCCCGCACACCTTCAAGCCCACGTTAGGACACACACTGGGGAGAGACCCTATGAATGTCAGCAGTGTGGCAGAACCTTCAGGCATCCAGACAACCTGCGAGTACATGTGAGGACACACTCTGGGGAGAGGCCCTACAAATGTCAGCACTGTGGGGAAGCCTTCAGTCGTCATTCCTCCCTTCAGGGACACATGGGAACGCACAGTGACGTGAAGCCCTATGAGTGTAAGGAATGTGGGAAAGCCTTCATGTATCCCGTAAACCTGCGAGCACACGTGAGGACACACACTGGGGAGAGGCCCTACGAACGTCCGCACTGTGGGGAAGCCTTCAGGTATCCTGCAAACTTGCAAACTCATGTGAGAACACACACTGCAGAGAAATGTTGAAATTGTAGAATGTAGGAAACCCTTCATTCTCCCCTAAACTTTATTGTATTTGAAGAAACAGACTGGAAAGAAATGTTATAAATGGAAAGAATGTTGAAAAATCTTCAGGTTTAATACGTCATGTATATGTATTCTTTACAATAAAACTCAGGGCTGAACAGAAATATTGTCATAAATATGACATTGCCCTTGTAAGTGCCTCATCCTTAATGTATTAAATACTAGTTAATATAGATTCTAGCTAACATGTTGCTGATATGAACATTTAAGATGATAAATATCCTCTTTAACTGTACTAAATATATTTTGTTTTCTTGGACTTTATTTAAACAATTGTTTTATAAAACGTGTTGCATTTCCATTACAATGTTTTGGACCCAAGCAGATAGGTGGTTTTTGTCTCTTCTACTTTTGTAAAACTTGATATAATTTTAGAGGAAGAGTGTTTTGAATCTTCCTTTCCATTATGTTCCTACTATGTGATCATGATAGGATATTTGTTTTGAAATTCCTTTTCTGGACCACTGTTGCAGATACTGGAATTTCCTACCTTGATATCTACCTTCTTCAGTGTTTATTATTGAAAGGTGTATCTTTCCACGTTTGCTTGCTGTTACTGGGAACCACATGTGTGTTCCTCCCAGCAGTTACTAATTGTGGAAAGATCTAGAATGTGGACAGTCTCATCTGATTGTGTTCATAACTTGTCCTCTGCTCATTGTCCTTGATCTTGATGAGAAATTGGACAGCATGCATTGAGTTGATAAGAAGGACCTCATAGCATGAATAGTAAAGCTAGTGTCCAGATGGTTCTACTGAGTTGCGTAGGTAGCTTGGGTATGATGGGAAACTGTATCCCACTGTGCTTCTGTTTATGGCTCTGAGGTACGTCCACGAGAAGAAGACACATGAGGTTTGGAAAGTAGAAATGGAGAATCCATGATTCTCAGTTCTTCTGTACCATCAGGAGACACAGATGCAGAGATGCATGGGGACTAGGTGGGCCTGAGTTCACTGTGTGGTCCCAATGCCCGACTCTGCCCGGGTGGAACAGCTTCCAAGCAAACACATGTTTCATGTAATTTCCTCTTTTCAGATTCTCGAGCTTGCTCTAGACCCTCTTTGGTTTTCAGTTCCACGCAAGTCCTTGTATTTTCCTGGGGCTCTTCGGTGTCTATCAAGCCTCTCCATAGGATGTCTCATTGAGTGATGTATGTCATCCTGTGACCCACCTGACCTCCAGTGCTTTTCCTAGTTACATGATTTCTGTAGTAAACATCTTGTTCCTCCAAAAGATCTGTCTCCTGCCTCCGCTGTGACAGATTTGACGCTGCATCCACAAATGCAGGGCACTTAACTTCTATTGTTGCATCGTTGAGTGGCTGCACCAGCCCTGCATTTCTTGTTTCTGGGTACGTCGAGGATCGAAATGAATGCTCGTGAGCACACTGGCAGTTTGTGGCTTTCCTGGCTGACTGCTTTCTAAACGATAAACCCACTAAGTTTGATTCTTTTACATTTCTATAGTGATGACTCAGTGTTTTTTTATTTCATTTTTTTTAGATGTAATTCCATCCAGGGGCCATTTTTGTGTCAAATACAATTCTCTACATTGTTTCTTGAAAACGTCATTACCTAGGTTTTCACATCTGTTGTCTGTTTACAAGTGTTCTTATGTTTTATGCTTCATTCACTGAGAAGTTACATTAAAAGAGTCAAGGGTGACTCCATCATTTTGTACAGGAAATATGATATGATAGAGTTGCCTTCAGTGAGATGCAGGTTGTCACACATGGGGAAGGATTTTGGGGGAGCTGGAGTTCAAGCGGAGCCTGTAGAGATGGAGAGGAGATTAGGAACAAGTGAAAGCAAAAGATAAACATGTTAGAATGTTTTTAGAGTTTAGAGCATTTCCAAAAAATTTGTAAAGATGTTATTAAGTGTTATATTATAAATGTTATAAAACATTGGTCCCTTGAGCAAAGATGTGGAACTACCATAAAAGTTGTTAGCGGGTGAGGACTTGATAGTACGGGTGAATGTTGAAACACTGTGTTCTGTGTTTGAAACCATCAGAAGACTGTGTGTATCAATGATACTTTAATTAAAGCTGTTAGCAGTGTAATCAATACATGAAAGTTGTAGTCATACAAGGGGAACATAAGATTAATAAAAATGAAGTGATAAGGCATGTCAGTCTTTAAACATGTTTGAATTAAAGAGAGTTGGTGTAACTTAGTATATACCACCTGATTCTATTTACAAGCACCAAAAAGAAAAATAATTGCAACACAAGTGATGAAATTATAAAGAAACTAAATCAAAGTATCTTTTAATAATGCAGGGGTATTTGTCCTGCAGGAGGGCAGGGTACGGCTTCTCCATCACCCAAATGGAATGTGGGGTGGGATAACCTTTCTTTCTTTCCTGGGTTGTGATCGTGGATGTTTACTTTATACTATTCATTTCAAATGTACATTTTATCCATTTTTATGTGTGTGTATTTTACAGTAAAGTGTTATTATGTCACCACACTACCTCATTTTTTTAAATTGCAAATTATCTCAATAAATACAGAAAAAGCATATTATTCTAAGTTCATCAGAAATACTCTTAGTAATATAGGAACAGACGAGAACTTTCACAACCTTTTGAAGGGTATCTTAAGAAACAGAGTTTGCGAAGGAATGTATAAAGTAAGCGATCAGAGTTCCTTTGTTCAGGAAAATTACATTCACATTACAAATACTATCACTCCACTCCCTTCAACAGTATACTGGATATCCCAGCAAGACAAATAGGCATGCAAGAATGTTAAATAAACTTGTCGTGTTCCAAAGCTGAAGAAAGTTATGTATATACAACCTAAAAGGGTATGTGTAACCATAGTAAAAGATGATTAATCAGCTTTCATGATGTCAACTTTTAAAAAAAGTCATTACATTCCTAGTCACTGTTTTAAAAAGTTCAATGTTTATGTAAGAGAGAACGTACAAAGGTAAAAATGAAGTTATTCAAGTCTCAAAATAAACCTAATGGGCGATATAAAGAAATCCCAGTGGGAACATTATAAGGTTATAGTGACATGAATGCAGAATAAAATGGATGGATGGAGCATGTTCTAAGGAGAACAATGCTACCATGATACCAAAACAAACCAAAAATACCTGTATCATGGAATGAATTTTGTTCATAGTAAAACCCTTTCCTGGGACTTAAGAAGCCTTGCTTCTAAATTGTATAAATAGGAACAAATGTTCCATAATAGCTGTGCTTTTCAAAAAAATGAGGTGGAGGGGCATACCCTGTGTGGAAATTGGGAGGCCTGCAGCGGGAGCGCCCATACCCATCACTCCTGGTCGGAAGCAGACCCTGCAGGAATGAAAGGGGCACCTTGCAACTCTTCCGGCTAATTCCCCGCCCCGTAGGAGAAGGGGGGAGTTTTTGCCAATAGTCCAGACATTGAGAGACTTACAACTCAGCCAATGAGCAGCCATGACACATGGGACACCCAGTTCCCTCCAATGGACTTTTTACTGAGAACAGCCCCCCAACTATCCCCATTTCTTCTATAAAAGAGCCCCCACTCTTTTGCTCTTGGGCCATACTTACGGATCGCCATAGCTTGCTTGTCCCAAATTGCAATTCTTTGCTCTTCCTGAATAAACTCATTTTCTTGGTAAAATAACTGACAAGATCCAGAGAAAACACCCCCCCTCCACCCCGGCCCCCCAACATCTCTGAGGCTGGTGAGCAAACAGGTCCCTGTACCCACAGAGCCCCCTGAGTTCACTGATTCCTTGTCGACCCTGGACTTGGAGGATAAGTTTTCTCCCGGACTTCAAGCTCCACTGTGTGTCTGAGCTCTGAGCGTGCTTTACTGGGCATCTGCTTTGAAGGCCTTCTTCTTTCTGACCGTACTTGTTTAGACTTAGGTCCGGTTTCTTCTCAGAACCGGACTGTTCCTGCAGCCCTCTGCTAGTGTCTGTGCTGGCCTTTGGTCCATATCCTTTGATGATTGTAGTGTTCCCTGGAATTGTGCTAAGCCTCTGATCTGACTCCTGTTGAGAAGCAGACTGTTCCTGTTGAAATTGCTCTTTAGGAATTTTTCTCTTTACTGTAGAGAGAAAAAAAAAAAACCTCTAAAGAAATGAGATCCTGGTTATCAAAACGCTTTGTGGATGACACCTCCCCTTCTCCCCACCCTCCCTTTCTGGGACACTAGCTGGGTTTCTTTTTGTTCAAATATGACAGTCCCACCTCATGCACGTTTCTGGCTAAATAGATCAATTTAAAGAAAAGTAATTTAGAACACCAATGGCCATGATGGTGAACTTTCATTCTCCCCAAACTTGATTTCTAAAATTAAACGAGAAAGGTGTGGCTCAAAAAAACATCTGAAGAGGATGCCTGTTTTAATGAATCATTCGAGGCTTCCAAATGTTACGAAGATTCTGAGTTGGCCTTCCTTCTTGCAAAGTGACGCAAGCCAGCAATTGAAAGAAGCCAGAATGGCTTCTGAGGCCTCTCCTTCCTGTCCCCCCATCTTATTTGTCTACAGACATGTGGCAGCCACGTCCTGCTCAGGGCCCACCTCCAGCACCATATTCCTCTCCTCTGCACAGCTCTTTCCAAATAAACCCATTTTTCAGGTAAAAAAAACCAACCGCTTTATTTTTAAGGTTAACTGTGGGCTCAAAATATCGTAACTCAACTGTTTTTCTCTACTAATCAGTGATGTGTGCCTTGAGAAATGTGATGTGTTCCTTAAAGGAATGTTGTACCTTAACCAAGGCCAGTTCCCGCAACATTGTTATCTTCCCTATTGTGCTATGTGCTGGGAAGAACTGCAGGAGGGAGTTGTGCACTGGGAACACAACGAGCCAATGGTTGTATACATGAGATCATCTACTGTACTTGGATGTATTTGTATGACTAGTAAATACGAGGGGTGCCCTCTCAGCACCACTCTTGAGCTGGTACGCCTTGAGTCCCCTGGCTGGCCTACTCAGGTCTTCGATATCTCATCACATCGCCTCCTTTATCTGCGGGTCGGAGACGGGGAAGAAGCCGACAGTTAACACCTGAAATGACTGAGGGTGAAAACCTGTTCCTTTGGCAGCGTAATTATGAAGTAGGATAGAGGCGTGTTCACATAGGAATGGCACAGCATCACTCTGAATAGAAACCCCCTTACTTTAAACTTCTTGCCCTTTCACATTAAAAAATTATCTAGGGTCATGTGCTTTACCAGGTGGTTCTTCCCCGTTTGAGGACTTTAAAATGGCTCTGATGAGGAACCTTTCACCAACACTGGGCTGTCTAGCAAACCGAGTGTGAAGGAATCACAGAGATGATCTCCATGAACTTGGATTTGGTAATGATTTCTCTACTGTCACATCAAAAGCACGAGCAACACAAGAAAAATAAGATGTCAACTTCACAATGAAAATCTTCTGTAAAGCAGAAGACAATATCAAGAGTGTACAGAGACTCCCCCACAGAATAGGAGAGAACATTTGAAAATCATATATGTGATAAGGCTTGATTATCCAGAAAACATACGTCTCAATTTAAAAATTGCAAACAAAACTAGTTAAAACATGGCGAAAGACCTTGAATACACATTTTTCCATGACAACACCCAAATGGCCAATAAGCACATGAAAAGTGGCTCAAATATACTACTTGTCAGGGAAGTGCAAACCAGAACCTCCACGAGAGCCTACTTCACACCCACTAGGATGGCGAGAATCCAGAAAGCAGAAGTGTTGGCCACGATGGGGGGAAGCAGCGACCCTCGTGCACAGCCGGTGGGAATGTAAAACAGTGTGCCTGCTTGTGGGAAAGATCGGTGGTTCCTCAAAGGGTTCAACCTAGAATTCCCGTGTGACCCAACCATTCCGCTATGTATACTGAAGTAGATACCCAAAGTGCACACACGAATGTTTGTTTCAGCACTGTTCAAAATTTAAACTAGCCAAAGGTGGAAACATCTCAAATGACCATCAGTGGATGAATAATGGGTAAACAAAGTGGAGCGCATACACGGGATGGATCTGTAAAATGGACACATGGTGCAAGATGAATGAACCTTGTAAACCATAAGCTAATGAAAGAAGCCGGACATAAGAGGCCTTGTTAGTGCATGAGTCCTTTTGAATAAAATATCCACAATATGCAAATTCCTAGAGACAATGTGTATTTTAGTAGCAGACAGGAGATAGGGCTACCATGGGTATGATACCCTCACATTTGCTTTTTTAATTTTTTAAATTTTGGTATTATTAATACACAATTACATGAGCAACATATGGTTACTAGACTCCCCCTATTATCAAGTCCCTACCACATACCCCATTACAGTCACTGTCCATCAGCATAGTAAGATGCTATAGAGTCACTACTTGTCTCCTCTGTGCTATAGTGCCTTCCCCATGCCCCCCCCGTACATTATATGTGCTAATCATAATGCCCCTTTTTCCCCCTTATCCCTCCCTTCCCACCCATCCTCCCCAGTCCCTTTCCCTTTGGTAACTGTTTGTTCATTCTTGGGTTCTGTGAGTCTGTTGCTGTTTTGTTCTTTCAGTTTTTGCTTTGTTCTTATACTTCACAGATGAGTGAAATCATTTGATACTTGTCTTTCTCCGCCTGGCTTATTTCACTGAGCATAATACCCTCTAGCTCCATCCAATAGCCCTCACATTTGTTTCTAAAGGATGAGATGTAATTCACATTACATAAAGATCACTTTGAAGTAAACTATTCGGTATTGTTTTTGTACATTCACAAAGCACATCACTACAGCTTCCATAAGGACATATAGAACCTTACATTTCCAATTCGCAGGGAGTGATGAAAAATGATCTGACATAAACTTCCTTGCAGAATAACGTACACGTCTGAGTTCTAACATCTCACACCTGAACCTGCGCTGAGACCAGTCCTGTGTGGGTCTCGGCGTTGGGAGGTCACACTTTCCAAGATGACAAAGGACAAGGGCCCAGCTTTGCTGGCATTAAGCCCAGAGGTGGGGGTGGGCAGGGATAGGGGGGTGGAGCGGGAGTCTCCGGTGAAAGGCTGCAACATGCATTACTCGCAGTGACCTCACTGTTGAGTGTCTTTGTTCTTTAAGTCAAAAATCCACGGGACAGCCTCCTCGAAAGATGACCCTTATCTCCGGGGCCACCAGGTTCTGCTGGACTGTCCCTTCCTATCCCCGGTTGAGACAGGAGACACTCAGCGCGGAAGCGGACAAGGACTTTTCGGTGCAGCAAGGGGCCCAGGCGGGGCATCCAAGCGCGAACACGCGGGCTATTCCGCCCGGCACCCACAATTCGTGCTCCGCGCAAAAGAATGCGCCTGCGCCACAGGCGGGTGTTTCCTGAGGGCGCAGACATTCAAAACCTAGGAGGCAGGGTCTGAAATACCTGTCGGTAAAGGTAGACAGGGGGAGGTGCGAATAAGATCGCCCAATGAGCGGGGGGGTGGACCTGGAGTCTGAGCAATCCCGGTGGACAGCTGATCTCCAGGACCTGTCCAATCAGGGCCGCTATACTTGAGTGGCAGGAGAGACATCCATTGGGTGCAAGCTGGCCCGGAAACGGTCCTGTCAATCCGCGGTGGTCCGATCGCCTCCAATCACGGCGCAGGAGGCCGGCCGGCAGTCCAACCAGAGCCGGGGGCGGGAGCGGGCGGCCGTTCGGTTGTCGGGGCCGAACGCCGCTTTCCTGGTGCGGGGCTGCCCACGCGGTCCGGCGGGTGTCCTGCTGGTGGTTCTCACCCCGGGGGCGCTGCTCGGGGCCCCGCCCGGACCCCCGGAGCGCGCGGAGCGGGGCCGGAGGATGGTGAGTGCGCGGGGCTGAGGTTGAGAACAGAGAAGGGCTGGAGGCACCGGTGGGATCCGGCTGCCAGCGATCGCGGCCGGGGTCCCCGCGCGTCCCCCGTCACCCCCTCCCCGCAACGGGAACAATAACCCGAGTTGCGCCCTTGGCCGGAGGGGTGTCCGGCGTTCTGTCCCCTGCCTGTGTGTGTCCCGCGACCCTACGCGAGCCCGTGGGCGGTGGAGTCCGTTGGAGGCGGGGGCCGCGGGCGGTCAGGGGTCGGCGTGGGCGCGGGGACCCGCCCTGGACCTGCCGGATTCAGGCAAGTCCGGACCAGTTTCGGACCAAAGCTGCTGCCACAGGGACAAGGGTGGGGTCCGAGGGCTCCCCCAGCGTGCCCGGCACACAGATCGGGCTTTGCTGTGTCAGGAGGGCGGTCAGGGGGCGGTGTTAGCGAAGGGGCGTCCCCGAGGACAGCGCACTGTCGCTCAGGCCACCAGGACCTCGTTCCGCCTCTCCGGGCTGTTCAGACCCGGTGGCGGGCGATGCAGTTGGGTCTCTGGGGAGGACAGTAGCCAGAGAAAAGTTTGGGCAAGTCGTGGGCAGTTGTGGAGAGGTGAGGAAGCGAAAGTCAAATGAAAAGCCGAATTTAGTAGGTAGTTTCATTCAAAATAATTTTCAAGGGTGGGGGAGAAGGGACTGAGTCTCTGCAGTGGGGCTGGGGGTCCTGCACTGGGGATGGGGGGCCTACATCAGTTGGTAGGACGCGCTAAGAATAAGCTCTGCAGGCCCCTGGAGAGTTGGGTGAAAGGGATTGTCTTTGACAGAACTGCCTGCTCTGAGATCAGATGCCCTAAATATCCAACATGAGTTTGAGGAGACTGCGCTGTGTTTGGATTTTTTTTTTTGTCCTTTTAAGTCCAAAAGTTTAACATGTGATGTGGTCTTCCTATGAGGTGTTTGAGAATCAAATACTCTAGGTAGTGTAACAAGTGGAGCCTGTAGAAAATTTAATATCATCCATTTCTGCTTTTAAGATTTCTGAAAAGTAGGTACTCTTGTGAAACCCTGGGGCATAGAGTGTCCAGGTGTATAACCTAGAAATTTAACAATGTTTGTTGTCCCTATCAACTGGAATACTGCATAGATCCCTTCATGAAATACTGTCTTTCAGTGGGAATGGATGTCATTAGCGTGAGGGGGAGGGACAACAGGCTGTGCGGGGACAGCAGTGCTGTTATTGCCTGGAGGTCCTGCATTCTGCAGAAACCTCCATCCCCGGCCACTGGGTTTTCCCACAGATAAAATAGGGCTCTTACAGGGACCTGCAAAGGGGACAAGGCCTTGAGCCCTGAAGTTTTGTACTATGTGTTTGAAGCTTAAGGGTATTGATTTGTTCTGGGCAGAGAGCTGTTTGAATCCTGATGGGAGGTGCACTGTGCTTTCTGCCACTATCAGCTGAAGATGTTGCCCCCAGAGAGGATGGGAGCTGATGCGAAAGGGACATGTGATCTGTGTCCCCAGAGGCAGTGACAGCGGTGGCAGAAAGGGAGCAAACAAAAGATGTCCAGGGTCACTGTATTCCCCTGAGTGGCTTCTGTGTTTGCCACAAGATGATTCTAGAATTGTTTGTCCATTTGAGAGAAAGAAATTCTGGCATGCTAATTCTCTAAGAAATACCCAGCCCAATAAATGAATGGCGATGGAGGAACTAAGGAGAAAAGGGTCTGTGTCTCTCAAAGGGCCTCAACAAAAGGGAGGAGGTTCAGAGGCAGGACCCCTCGGGCTGTACTCAGCGAACAGAGGAAGGTCCTCCTTCCGCTGGGGTGCACAATAAACATGGAGCTCAAGGCTGCACGAGCGGATGGAATGGCTGAAGGTAGACCAGAATTTTCTTCCACAGCAATCTGAAGGCCATTGGAATAGTCATGATCAGGTTCGTAAGATTTTTGTGCAGAAGTGTGAATTTTGTTGGAATCAGTAGGCTCAGAAAAAGCTCCTGCGGTTGCTTGGTGGGAGTTTTCAGCCAGTGTTCTAGCATTTGGCCAAAAGGTAGGGGTTTGTTTTTCCAAATCCTGGGCAGAACGGTCTCATCTGGCAAGTTTCATCCAGTGCTGTGCGTGGCCTCACTAACAAGACTTAACTGAGATAAATCTTAAGATAGCAGGTTGGTAAGTGCAAATAGGTATTAAATACATTAGCAGACCTCTGGGATCCATTGTCACCTTAGAAAACTCCTTCTTAACTATGGCTCACAATCCGGTCTTCGTCCAGGTAACATAGGAAATTTGGGGTTTATTTGGCTTCTCAGGAGACAGGTTTAAAATGGCAAGTTTTAATAGGCCTAGGGGCAGAGGGAGCCCGGAGATGTTTGTAGAAAAGAAGTTTGGCCGTCGGATTAGAATTAAGCAGGAGGGTGACTGCAGGTATGCAGGGTTCAGAGGGAATAGAGCAGATGGGTGGGGACTGGACTGAGGACAAGGTCACTGCCATGTGTCTGGAGACGAAGAAGGGCAAGGCAAAGTAAAGAGGCCTTAGAAGCCACATTGATACCTTTGAACTGTTCGTTGGCCTCAGTGAATTTAGAAATAGAATTTTGCAAAGTGCCTACTGTAGAATTCTGAAAATGTTTGCAAGCTTCTAGGTTCCAATTAAAAGAGGTTTCCCACTGAGGTTTAAAAACAATTTTTTGTGTGTATAGGAGTGGGTTTCTTGTTTAAATTTGAGAAAGACAAGTTGCGAGGTCACATATTCCCCTGGATGGCCACTCGAGTTGTAAGTGTCGTTTGGTTAGCGTGGTCCCCCCAGTTGTACGTGAGCCTGAGGGGGAGCACGGTCCCTAAACGCAGAACTGTAAGGGTTCCCATAAGGGCGGGTAGCCTCAACACATTTTGATAACCGATCCCATTTCCTAGGGGATATTCTCTGGAGTGAAAAGGGAAATACTTAATTGGTATAGTGTCAGTAGCCACAGCCCTGTTCAGAAAGGAATTAGACCAAAGGCCAGCACAGTTCCTATAGTAGGAAAGTCCGTTTCCAGAAAGGAGTTGGAAAAGGGCTGGTACAGTCACATGAGGCTCAGTTTGAATGGTAACAGTGCAGTTCCAGAAAATTCTCAGTAGAAGGCCAAGTGTGTGCTCTCAGAAAGGAGAAAACCTTAAAACAGATCCGGAATAAAGCCTGGAGAACTCGAAACACAAAGAGGGTGGAACTTGAAATGCCGAAGAGACTTAACCCTTATGCTTACAGTTGCTTGGCTGTGTGGGGACCTCCGGCTACTCACCAGCGTTAGAATGTTGGGCGACTTCTCTGGGGCTCACCTCTCCGACACCAAGTCTGGTTACCCTAAAAATAAAGCCATCAGCTATGTTACCAGCAAATGCGGGTTTATTCGGGAATAGCTGGGAATTGTAATTGGGTTTTGTAAGTTATGGCAAAGCGTAAGCACGTCTGGAGAGCAAAGGAGACCTCTGCTCATTTATAGAGGAAGGCGGGGCATTGGGCGAGGCTACCGTCGACGAAAAGCTCCAGCCGAGTAAACAGGGAGTTCAGAGTGAAGTGGCTTCTCGTTGGTCGAGTTGTGGTGGTCTCTCATGGGCTGTGCTGTGCCAGGCATGGGCTGGGCTGTGCCAGGCAAGGAGATAATCTTTCCTTCTTGTGATTGGGGCAGCAACGTTGGCGTCTTCTGTTGGAGAATGAAGGGTATGTCTTTTTCTATAATCTGAGTGTTCAATGTCCTGGCGTTCTGGTTACAGTTCTTGGAGCTGATAAGGATTCAATCACATCTGAGCAAGCCATGTATCACTTTCTGTGGTATTTGAATGAGGACGTCAGTTTTCAGTGTTTACATCAGAATCTGGACTCTGTCAGGAAATAGGTTAAAATCGTTGGTGTATGTCTAAGCTGCTCTCTCATTTTGCTTCAGTTTTCCAAGCACTTAGTCTCACTGGTTTTTGCTCTCCTATTGTCATTTTCCACAAGCCTGTGAGCTCAGGAGGCTGAGTTGAGGCCTGCCTCCCAATTGTGTGCCTCCACCAGTCTCCCACACTGGTGTGGTGGTGTCTCGGTGAAAATGGGTATGTGGCGTGTTGCAGGCCTCGGTGATCTTGGAGGACGTGGCTGTGGCCTTCACCCCGGAAGAGTGGGTGCTGCTGGATCACACTCAGAGGGGGCTCTACAGAGACGTGATGCTGGAGACGTGCTGGAACCTGGCCTCTGTGGGTAAGGACGGATTCTTCCCTTCAAGTTACTCTTGTAGAGAACCGGGATCTCCTAAGACTGTCCTTCCTTCTGGGGCCAAGGAGTCGGAATGCACTGTAGAAAAGACAGACATGGCCCGTGACTTCATGGAATGTACCTAGAGGCACTAGATTTTCAATGAACACAACGTTTCACATATTCGCTGGGCTCTTTATTTCCCTTGTTAAATATCTGGGGCTGCACATTTTTGTGTGGGAGCATGGCCTGCACTGTCACTTTGGGGAAGCGAGGGCTGCCTGATGGTGTCCACGCCTGTGAAAATTGCACTGACGTCACGACAGGTCTGACACAGGGATCTCTCTCCAGTGAAGTGCACACTCACCCATTCACTAGTGGCCTTGAAGACCAAACAAGGGCCCAGTCCCTGGACTTCTGTTGTCCCTCAAGTCCTTCCTCATGGCTGAGCTTTCATCCCCACACAGGGAGGGTGGAATCCCCTTGACAGCTGGACAACAGAGGAAGGCCTTCTCTCGGGCCTCTGCGCCTACGATCCCCAGGGGAGCAGCAGTGCTCGGGAGAGCAGGTTCCGCGTAATATCTGAGTGACACTCGGTCACAGGCTTTAGAAGCATGGCTCAGTCTCACAAGGGTGCCGTCGGTCGTGTGCCTGGCTTCCCTGATGGGCTTCCGCCCTTCTGCACCCACTTGGGAAGACTGTGTATTTCTCTTACAAAGATAGCGAGTTGGACAGGTGCATTTTGCCCAATTTATCCTATATTGTTTTTCTCACAGTATCTATCTCCACATCAGCCTCTATCTCTTTTGAAATACATCTCATGAACAGGCTTCCATTTTGATACACTTTCCCTATCATTGCCAGCATTCTAAATAGCTGAAGTCTTCAGAGCATTTCATGGCCCGTGCATCCATTCTTCCTTATATAGTTTGCTTTCATATTGGGATTATTATATGGAATTAAATCCACATGTAGTCTCTCTTCTTTCATTTCTGCCACCATTTTGTTCTCCAGAAATTAATATGCTACTGAATGTCGCATAGTGTTGCACTCAACTTCAATGCAGTGTGTCTAGTCCTCTGTGGGGTATTTTGGAGAATGAATTATGTAGTGAAAGGAAAAGAGTAAGATTCACAAGTAATGATTCCATATCTGTCTTTCAAGAAAACCAGGAAATTCATAACACCAGAGATGAGTCCCATACGCAGGAGAGACGTTTCAGGTGAGTGGCACTCCCACAAGAGGACAAGGGGAACCTTTGCAGAGTGTCAGAATGACTTTAAATTAAAGGAAAAGTACAAACCTAGCTCAGTATGTCTCAGAGGATTTTTATGCGACAGCATTTTCATAATGTAAGGTAGCTATCAAACATCTGAAACATAATCCAGTTGAGAACAATAATCAGGAAAAACCACAGTGTAAAAAACAGTGAAAATTATGGCTATATCTGAGTCTTCAGCCAGAGCATTAAGGGCAGTTTCAACTCTGTATAAATGCAGATGGCGCCACAAATAGACCCATTCATTACAAATAGCCAATTTGTAGTCAAAGTAATCATTATCCAACAATGAATCACTCATAAGGAAATAATTTATCACAAATAATGCCTAATGGTATTTTTCCTGTTTTGAGCAGAAGCCATTTCTTGGAGAGTCTCTGTAAAAGTAGTGAAGGTAATCAATGTGGAGCAGCCCTGAATCAGGTTACAAGTCCTCCTGTGTATGCCGCTTATGCTACTGGATGTAAACCTTATGAATGCACTAATTTTGGAAAGCCTTTTTTAAATTGTTTCCCAAAGGATCTGCAAAAATCTCACACTGGACAGAAACCTTATGAATGTGATGAGTGTGGGCAAGTCTGCAGTTGTGTCTTGTGCCTAAGCACTCATATGGGAACTGACCCTCTAGAGAAGCCTTTTTCAGGTCAGAGTAATGAGAAAGGATCTAAGACATACATGAAGCGTCTCAGTACTAGGAAATCTTTTGAATGTAAGAAGTGTGGGAAAGCTCTTCCGAGCCCCTCATCCTCTCAGGGATGTGTAAAAGGTCACCATGGGAAAAAAATCCATGCTTGTATGGTATGTGCGAAAGCCTTTAAGTATTACTCCTATCTTACACAACATGAGAAAACTCACACTGCTGTGAAGCGGCGAAAATGTAAGGAGTGTGGGAAAGCCTACAACAGTTCCTCATCCCTTCAAGTACACATGAGAACGCACACCGGGGAGAGACCCTTTGGGTGTAAGCAGTGTGGGAAAGCCTTCAGAAGTTACTCCTCCCTTCAAGAACACAAGATAACACACAGTGGAGATAAACCCTATGAATGTAAGGAGTGTGGCAAAACCTTTAGTTGTCCCAAATACCTTAAAAGACACTTGAAAACGCACAGTGGAATCAAACCCTACGAAAGTTCCATATCTGGGAAATCCCACAGTTGCTTCTTATCCCTCCAAGAACATGTGAGAATGCACAGTGAAAATGAACAGTATGACTGTAAGGAGTGTGGGAAGGTGTTCAGGCAACGTCTGTATTTGGAAAGACACATGAGAATGCACAGTGGATTGAAACTCTATGAATGTAAGGAATGTGGGAAGGCCTACACTTGCTTCGTATCTCTTCAGGAACATGTGCGAACCCACACTGGAGAGAGACCCTTGGAATGTCTGCATTGTGACAAAACCTATAGTCGTCAATCCTCCCTTCGAGCACATATGAAAACTCACACTGGGGAGAGGCCCTATGGATGTGCCCAGTGTGGGAAAAACTTTCCCTGGTACTCGTCTTTGCAGAAGCACATGAGAACGCATAGTGAAGAGAGACACCACGAGTGTCAGCAGTGTGGCAAAATTTTAATGTATCCTTCAAGTCTGAAGGCACACTTGCGCATACACACTAAGGAGAGACGCTATGAATGTAAGGAGTGTGGGAAAGGCTTCTGGTATCCTTCATATCTTCAAGCCCATCTGAGGACACACACTGAGGAGAGACCCTATGAATGTCCACGGTGTGGCAAAGCCTTTGGTCAGCCTTACTCCCTTAAAGTACACATGAGAGTGCACAGAGAAGTCAAACCCTAAGAACGTGAGGAGTGTGGGAAAGCCTCCTTCAATCTCATGTGTGAGGACACACTCTGGTGAGTGTCCCTATGAATGTAAGGGGTTGTGAAAAAGCCTTCATGTATCCCTTAAGCCCGTGAGCCCATTTGAGGCCACACATTTCTGGGCAGCCTTACAAATGTCAGCAATGTGTGATGACCTACCGGCATTCTGAGACCCTTGAGGCATGTTAGGACGCACGCTGTCGAGAGGCCCTATGAATGTCAGCAACGTGGGAGGGCCTACAGGCATGCTGAGAACCTGCAAGCCCACGTGAGGACACACCCTGGGGAGAGCCCCTGCAAATGTCAGCAATGTGGGAAAACACAGGTATTCTGACAAACTGCAAGTACATATGAGGCTACACAGCGGGGAGAGGCCCTGCATATATCAGCACTGTAGGCACTGTAGGAGGCCCTTCAGGTATCCTGCAAGCCTGCGAACACATGTGAGGTCATGCCTCATACAGAAACTGAAATTTTGGAGTGTTGGTAAGGTTTTATTCTCTCCTTAAGATGTTTTGTATTTGAGTGAAGAGATTGGTGAGAAACCTTATGAATGGAAAGAATGTTTAAAAATCTTCAGGTATACTAGTTTTTTTTCACAAGAAAACTCAGGGCTGAGCTGAAATCTTTTTACTGTTATAAATATGGCTTTGCTCTTATAAGTGCCTCATCCTTAATAGTGTTTCTTAGTGTTTTAAATTCTAGATGTTACAATGTGATCTTTTAAGGTGGTAAATATACCCTTTAACTGTACTAAATATATTCTTTTTTCTTTGGCTTTGTTTTAAATAATTGCACAGTTATGTGAAACTTATTCCATCACAGTGTTTTGGAGCCAAAGTATTTTTTCTTTTTTTTTTTTGTACATTTATAAAATTATTAAACTGTCATTGATATATAATTTAATGGTGGTTTCAAATACACAATGCAGTGGCTCAACTTCCACCCATCTTATCAAGTCCTCACCCACTTCATTGCCGTCACCGTCTGTCAGTGTGGTAAGATGTTACACAGTCATTAATTGCATTCTCTGTGCTGTACTACCATCCCCACTACCTATCTATACTGTGATTGCTAATTATAGTGCCCCTTAATCCCCTTCTCTCTCCGCACCCACTCTTCCAAACCCTTCGCCTTTGGTAACCACTAGTCCCTTATTAGTGTCTATGAGTCCAGTGCTATTCTGCTCCTTGAGTTTTGCTTTGTCGTTATACTCCACATATGAGTCAAATCATTTGGTATTTGTCTATCTCCGCCTGGCTTATTTCACTGGGCATAATACCCTATAGATCCATCCATGTTGTCGCAAATGGCAGGTTTTATTTCTTTCTATGGCTGAATAATACTCTGTTGTGTATATGCACCACATCTTCTTCATCCATTCATCTATTGATGGACACTTAGGTTGCTTCCACATCTTGGCTATTGTAAATAGTGCAGCTGTAAACATAGGGGTGCATATGTCTTTTTGAATCTCTGATTTTGATATCTTTAGGCAAATTCCTAGGATTGGATTACTTGGTCAACTGGTATTTCTATTTTTAGTTTTTTGAGGGATATCTGTATTGCTTTCCACAGCAGTTGAACCTGTTTACCTTCCCACCAACAGTGTAGGAGGGTTCCCCTTTCTCAGCTACCTCGCCAGCATTTGTTCTTTCTTGCCTTTTAGATAGTGGCCATCCTAACTTTTTTTGTACATCTTGATAAAATTTTAGAGTAAGAGTGTTTTGAATCTTCCTTTCCGTTTCCTAGTATGTGAACATGATAAGAGATTTCTGTTAAGATTTGTTTTCTGGCTCACTGTTGCAGATACCGGAATTGCCTCACTCAATATTGACCTTCCCCTTCAATTTTTATTATTGAAACGTGTACCTTCCACATTTGGTTGTTGCAGCTGGATACCACATGTGTGTTCTTCACATCAATTACTAGTTGTGGAAAGATATGAAAGTGGACAATCTCACCTGTTATGTTTATAATCTGTCCTCTGCTCATTGTCCTGCATCTTGCTGTGAAACTGGACACCATGCATTGAGTTCAGAAGACCTCATGGCATGAAGATACTGGGCAGATGATTCTGTTGAATTGTGTAGTCAGTTGAGTATGATGGGAAACGATATCCCAGCTTGTGTTGATGGCTCTGAGACATATTCATGAGAAGAGGAAGATGCATGAGTTTTGAAAAGCAGAAGTGAAGAAGGCATGATTCTCAGTTCTTCTGCGCCACCAGGAGACAGAGTACAGCACATGGCCCCAGGACGTGGCTCTGCCCGTGTGGAAGAGCTTCCAAGCCAACAGGTTCCATGTTGGTTCCGTGGGCAGCAGATTCTAGAGGTTGTTCCAGGAGCTCCCCCGTGAAGGACCCTGGTGATTTTTCAGGCCCAGAGTGATCCTTGCATTTCCGTGTAGTTCTTTGGGGTCCCTCAGGCTTCTGCAGGCTATCACACCTCATGATGTCTGTCATCCTGTGAGCCCGCTGACCACGAGTGCTTCTAGGGACATGATGTCTCTGCAGTAAGCATCTCATTCCTCTAAGAGTAGATGTGTCTCCTGCCTGTACCCTGACAGATTTGACACTGTAGCCACAGCTGCAGGGCACTTGCTTTCCAGGATGTACTGTCGAGTGGCTGCACTGGCCCTGCATTTCTTGTTTCTGGATAGTTCCAAGATTGACATATGCGTTTGTGAATATATTTGGCAGTTTGTGGGAGCTGACTGCTGTGAAATGACAAGCCCAGTAAGTTATTATTTTCCGTTTTCATAAGTGATTACCCAGTGTTTTTTCATTTTTTATATGTGACAATGTGCGTTTCATGTCAAACACGGTTCGTTATATTGTTTCTTGAAAATACAGCCGTCAGTTATGCTATGTAGCAGCAAATGTGGGTTTATTTGGGAATAGCAGGGAATTGTAATTGGGTTTTGTAGGTTATGGCAAAACATAAGTACATCTGGAGAACAAAGGAGACCTCTGCTCTTTTATAGAGGAAAGCAGGGCGTTGGGCAAGGCTGTTGTCCACAAAGAGTCCAATGGGGTAAACAAGGAGTTCAAAGTGTAGTAGCTTCTCCTTGGTTGAGTGGTGATGGTCTCTCATGGGCTGTGCTGTGCCAGGTAAGGAGATAGTCTTCATTCCGGCAGTTGAGGCAGTAACAGGCTTCTTCTGGTGGGAAATGAAGGGTATGTCTTTTTCTGTAATCTGAGTGTTTACTGTCCTGGTGTTCTGATTACAGTTCTTGGAGCTGATAAGGATTGTATCACTTCTGAGCAAGCCATGTATGAATTTCTGCATCATTTGAAGGATGATTCCATTTTTTATAATAATATCATAATTGTGTATGTCTAAGTCAGTTATTTTCTCACTTTGCTTCAGTTTTCTAAGCACTTACTATCAGTGGTTTAATGCAGTTCATTTGTTCCCATATTGTCATTGCCCACTTGCCTGCCTCCCCCATCCTTCCGCACTGGTGTGCTTTGGCAAGATAGGACGTGTGGGGTGTTTTAGGCCTTGGTGGTCTTGGAGGACGTAGCTGTGGCCTTCACCCTGGAAGAGTGGGCGCTGCTGGATCACATTCAGAGGGGGCTCTACAGAGACGTGATGCTGGAGACCTGCGGGCACCTGGCCTCTGTGGGTAAGGACGCTTCCTCCCTTAAGTTAGTCTTTTAGAGGACCCAGATCTCCTAGGACTGTCCTTCCTTTTGGGGCCAAGGAGTGGGAATTGATTCTAGAAAAGACAGATTTGATACTAGCCTTCCAGAAGGTACCTGTAGTCAGATGGATTTTCCATGAACAGAGAGCATCTGATACAGTGAATCGACGACTCTTCTCTTGATCCAGGTGTTAGTCTCTGTCATTTTGTAGGTGCGAGCGTGGTCTCCAGTGTCATTTTGGGGAAGTGAGAGCTGCTTGATGGTTTTCACGCCTGTGAAAGTTACACTGTGGTCAGTGTAGAATCAACACAACAGTGTTTCTGCAGTGACGGACACACTTAACCCATCACCGATGGGCTCGATGACCGAAGTAGCAACCCATCACATGGACTCCCTGTTGCCCTCAAATCCTGCCCCAGATCGAGTTTTTTCCCACAAGCACCGCAGCAGCCACACGCACAGGGTGGCATTCCCACGGCAGCCAGGGCAGTGCGGGGAGGCTTCATCTCGGATATTTTTGCCTGCATCCCCTGGAGAGCAGCAACCCCCAGGCAGAGCAGGTTCTGCATATTGTTTGGTATTTGGGCACATCCTTCCGAAACATGACTTAGTCTTCGAGAAGGGAGCCCTTGCTCACGTACCTAGCTTCCCTGACGGACTTCTCACCCCTCCCTTCCCGCTTGGGCAGTCTCTCTGTATTCCTCTTACAAAGGCAGTATTTGTACAGGTGCATTTTGCCCAGTTTGTTTCTATGTTGTTTTTCTGACAATATGACAATATTTATCTCCACTTCAGCCTCTATCTCTTTTGAAGTACATCTCGGTGAACAGGCTTCCATTTTGACACACTAGCCATACAGCTGCCGAAGACTCAAATAGCCAGGGTTGTTTGTTAGAGGTTTTCACTGCTTGTGTGTCATTTCTTCCTCGTGGACCTTGTGTAGATTCTTGGATCGGTACATGGAGAGAAACCCACGTGTGGCCTATTCCCCCTCCTTTTCCCCCATTTGAGAGAGGCATTTGAGGCGAGCTGCACTCCCGCTGGAGGAAGGGAGATCTTGTCAGATGGTTAGACCCATTTGAAATAAAAGTCCAAACCTAGCTCAATAATTGTGTACTGAGAGAATCTCTACAACACAGTATTTTCATAAATGTGATGTAGATATGAAGCATCTGAAACATAATTTATTTGGAAACAAAGATCAGGAGAACCCACGGGTAAGAAACACTGAAAGTTGTATATATATATATATATATATATATGTTTGAACCCTCAGGCAGGGTGTTAAACTCATTCCACTTTGTAAAAAATAGACAATGCCAAACACATACCCATTCATTAAAAATGGCCAATATGCAGTGAAAATAATCACTAATAACCACTAATAAATCATCCATGTGGAAATCAGTTATAAGGAATGATCCTTAATAATGGATTCCTATTTTGAAAGAAGTCATTTCTTGGAGTCTCTGAACATGAGATGACGGTAATCAGTGTGGAGAAGCCCCAAGTCAGATGAGAAGCTGTTCTGGGCGTGGGTTCTGCCCTCCTGGGGATAAACCCTGTGAATGCTCTATGCATGGAAATGCTTTCTCCGATTTCTTTTACTAAGAACATGCAAAGGTCTCATATTGGGCAGAAACCTTATCGATACGAGTTTGGGAAAGACTGAAGCTGTACTTGATGCCTAAGTACTCACGCGGCAGCTGATTTTGTAGAGAAACTCTAAATGGCAGGGTGCTTGGAGAGCAAGTAAAAAAAGATGTTAAGAGTCTTAATGGTAAAATATCTTTTGAGTGTCTGAAATGTGGAAATACTTTCATTCGCCTCTTGTGCTTTCTGGACCATGTTCACCAGGGAGGAAAACTCCATGGGTGTTAAGTATGTGGGAAATGCTTCATTTGTTACTCCCGTTTTATGTGAAAATGGGAGAACGCACTGGAGTGAAATACCATGAAGTCACTGAGTGTGGGAAAGCTTGCAGTTGTTCGTCATCCCTTCCAGAGCATGTGAGAGCCCACACTGGGAGGACACCCTGTGGATGTAGTGGTATAGGGACCCCTTCAGTTGAAGTGAAACTCTATGACTGTAAAGAGTGTGGAAAAGTCTTCAGGTATCCGTTAAACCTGCAAGCACAGGGAAGGAAGGACCCACCCTGGCAAGAAACTGAACAGAAGAGACTGAGAATTCCCTCATTTTTCCCTTAAAACCTTGTTGTAAATGTGAGTAAACACACTGGAGAGAAACTTTAATTCCGTGATTTCTGTATTAAGTAACTTCTTTTCTCCAAGAGGTCTGTTTCTTCCTTCCACCCTGACAGATTTAATGCTCTGGCCACAAATTTAAGGAAGTTCCTTCTCTCATTGTACATTCGAGACTGTACTAGCTGCATTTTTGTTTTCCTTTCTAGATACTTTTATGATTGAAATAAGCAAATCTGTGGCAGTTTGTAGGAGTTTTCTCTTATAGCTGACTGGTTTCTAAATGATGAATCCAGTATGTTCACTTTCCTTTTTTAAATGTGATTACCCTGTGTCTAATTTTCACTTTTTGTGTAATCCAAAGCAACGTACCCTATTTGGGGGGTCAGATAATAGTTATTTAAATAAAGTCACCTACACTGACTCGATGCCACCTGGGTTCATGGGCTTCAGCTAACCCATACAATGAGATTCCTTCCAGAGTCTGCCGAGGAGAAAGTGGATTCAGACATGCCGAGTTTCTCTGTGGAAGACATTCAGAACAGTGCTAGATGGCAGCCAGTTATGTGGGAGCACTTACATAGTACGAGAATGTCAAACGGAGCCTCAGAGATGCGCAAGCTGGCCTGGCACTTACTGTGTGTGGCCTTTTCTCCTCATGAAGAAAAAAAAATGCCACCAAATCTGTCATCAGAGGAAGCAGTTCTGTGTCTGGTGGGTCAAGACGAAGGAAGAGTATGTTACAGCCATGCCTGTGACGAGGCCAGAGATCAGGAGTCCAGGCCACAAAAATGACCAATATTTCATCTTGTTAATGTGACTGTTCCCTCTTTACCAATTAATTTTAGCTTCACTGCATTCTTTCTCCTATCTGGACAAGAACTGTGAAGATATCCAGTGATCAAATTATACTTACCTTCTGACCACATCTAAGTCAGAGTAAGGACTACGTCCTTTGAGACCCAAGCTGCCAAACAGAAGTCTAAATGCTATAATTTGTCCAGCTATGTGCTTGTGTCATATGTCATCTGTCCCTCCTGACACACCCTTCGTCCTTCACGAGACGTGCCAGTCTGCATGCTCTAAGTCAGTGTACTCCGTGTTGACTGCTGCTGTCATCCTAGTGCTCTGTGGCTAGAGCCCATTGACAAAAATCATCATTTTGCTCTCATTAATGTATTATAAGTCACTTTAATGACAGAAGTTTTATGTATATTAGAATAACTTACCTGAAATAAAAAAAAACCCTACTCTTGTATGCACTTGGTACTGTTGGCTAAGAATGCCTAAGAATATTGAATAAGAATTCTCTTCATTTAAGAAAACTGCATGGTTGATTTTGTTATTAGACAAGGTTGTGCTGCCCAATGTTCATCTCAAGACAAACATCGGACACTGGCTCTTGTAAAAGGAAAAAGCTTTATTGCAAGGCAGGCCGACCAGGAGTTGACACAAGGCAAAAGTCAAATCTGTTTCCTCCCACTCAGAGGGAGTACAGAATATATAAGGAAGGTTTATGTGTATTTGCAAGGGGTTTATGCATAGTTAACAATGGTTGGTGAAATTAACAGATTTGGGGCAGGACTTTTCTCCTGCACCTACATAGACTGTATATTCTAAAAATGGCAGCTAAACCCCACCAAGGGGTGATGGTAATAAGAAAAGTAACTCAAGGTCATATGCAACCGTTTCTGTGCAGGTCTCCATTTCTGTGCATGTCTCCAGTCTGGCTTAAGCTGGTTGCAGGCAGAGTTGCAACTTCTCACATTTCCCTGAATTTCCTTTGCCCTGAAAAAGCAAACTTTACACATTTTGCTACTATTGTTATTTTTTGGTGTCCTCATCTTAAGGCTTCAGTTCAAATGAACCCTGTGAAGTAGTTTCAATTTAACAACCAGTAAGTGCAAAGGGGTATTTTTATGTAATCTCTAGTCAATGAGAAGTAAAGAGAATAATATTTGTTAATGTACAACTGATTTGAAAACAGTTAATGGGATTCTGGGAAACATGTATAGAATCTTCTGTTTGCATAATCAAATGCAAATCATTATGTGATGAACATAAATATCACAATTGAATAATATTGGCGACTTGTATTCAGTTCTGAGCAACAGTAACCCCACCACAATCTGCCTGATACATGTATGCCAAAGCTGCTGCTTTCTTTCATGGAAAAATGGAACAGTGCAGCCACTCCACAATGGAATAGAGAAACAAGTCTCGTAATTTTTACCTGCACCATCAAAGAACACTCAAGAGTAAAGACACCCCATAGAATATTTGTAAATCATATATGTGATAAGATTTTATTTTTCTTACATCTCAATAACAAAAAGGTAAACAACCAAGTAAAGGACTTGAATAGACAATTCTCTGAAAGAATAAACAAATGGCCAATAAGCACATGAAAAGAATCGCTATATCACTAATCACTTGGCAAGTTCAGATCAAAACCAGTGAGATCCCACATCACACCTGCTAGGATGGGTAGAATTTTAAATCAGAAAAAAAGTGTTGAGGATGTGGAGAAACTGTAAAATCATGCACTGCTGGTGGGAATGTAAAGTGGTGCAGCTGGTGTGGAGAAGCACTGGGTGGTTCTTAAAGAAGTTAAACACAGCATTACCATATGACCCAACCATTCCACTTCTGCCTATAATGAAATACTCAGATATGTGTACATGAATGTCCATTCCTCGTAGCACAATATATAGCCATATACATAAATAGGCAAAAGGTGGAAATGTTCCAAAGTCCCATCAATGGAGAATGGATAAAGTATAGCGTATACATAGGATGGAATATCATTCAGCTGTGAAAAGGAATGAACCTTGAAAACCTTATGCTAATAAAAGAAACGAGACACAGAAGGCCCCATAGTGTATGAATATATTTGTACAAAATATCCACAATAGGCATATGCATAGAGACAAAGTGTTTTGGGGGAGCCAGGAGGTAAGGTTACCATGGATATGATGGCCTTTAAACTTTTTTAAAAGGAGACACAAGTCACATACTCTGAGTTTGCACTTTCAAGTAAAACTCAAGTGTTGTACATTCGAAAAGCTGTGTAACATTTCTGTACGAGCTGAATAAGGTATATTGCCTTTTGTATTTCAAAATTCAGAGACTGAGTGTAAACTGGAAGGACACAATTGTCCTTGCAGAGTAAAATGCACACAGGAGAATTCTAAAGTCTCACACCTGCGGCTGTGCTGAGAAGACTCCTGTGCCAGGCTTGGGCCACCGGGTCCCACTTTCCAGTGGGTGTAAAGGTCTCAAAGAGTTACAAGCCCCAGGGGATGGGGCCTTCTGGTGGCAAAGGTCACACGTTAAATCAGCCACAACCTTCCTTTGCAATGACCTCACTGTTGAGGATTTGTCTTCATAGACAAAGGACACAGACTCACTTGTGCCCCCAATTCTACCCCTATACCCGCGAAGTCACCAGGCCCTCTCCCAGTTCCAGGCCCGCACACGAGGCTCTGGGAGGGGAAACTGAGTCAGGACTTCCCGATCCAAGGGGAGGACCTAGGCGGAGCACCAAGCTGAAGGCAGAGGGCAGCCCACCCGGCCAGGAGCTGGCTGGCTGCGTCAGGAGCAGAGTTTGGTTGCCAACAGCCTGACGCTCAGAACTGTGGGAGATACTGCCTAGTCAAAGCCGCAGGACGCGAGGGGTGGGACCTGTGATCGTCCAGTCAGGGAAGTCGTCTTAGAGTGCTCGGGCCGTCGTCCAATCACCGTGCGGGGGCGTGGTCCACAGTGTGGCCTCTGAACGCGGGGTGTCCGGAGCTCTGCGCGATCAGGTTGCTGAAGCGTATCCTAGAGTCCGCCCAATCAGGGGCCCAGTCAGGGGAGTGGCCAGCGCACCGTCCAATCAGGGCGAGGGCGGCCACCCCCACCTTCTTGGACGCCGCTGGCTGCCCACGTCCCGCGAGCTCACCTACCGGTCTTGGCCCCAGGTGTGCAGTCGCGTGGCTCTCACCTGCCTGGGCGGCGGAGCGGGGCTGCGAGATGCTGAGTGTGCGGGGCCAGGGCCCGGACGAACCGGCGGAATCGGTAGGAAGCGGCCTTGGCCGGTCTCCCCGCGCCCCGCGAGGTTCCGACCCGAGTGCCAGCGTCCCGTCCTCTCCCGGCGTGGGGGCCCCGGGTCCCGTGGCTGCCTGGCGGGAACCGGGCAGGAGGGACGGGCGCCGCTAGGGGCGGGCTTCGGGCTGCCCTCCCGCCCGCACAGGTCTGTCGGCGCCCCCTGGTCATTCGGCTTCAGGTTTCTGTGAGGGTAAAATACAGGACCCTGAACCTCCCTTTTTCTCCTTCGCGACGGTGGCGGTGGTGTTCCAGCAGCTCCTGACGCCGGCGCATGTTCTGGGTGCTGTCTGGGCCCGCGGCCTGAGAGGGGCCCCCAGCGCCCTTGCTTACAGGTGTGCGGATAACGCACGCGGGTCCCCACGTTACCGTGAGGGGGTGAGACACGGACTCGGTGTTCGTACCGGGTAGTGGCTCCGCGCAGGCGCAGGGTCGTGACAGCGTGACTGCGTCCTTTACACACACACCTGCCCACCCCCCGCCCACCACCCCGTTGACAGCTGGTCCTCAGAGATGGGTGCAGATTCGGTGAGCGGGATCCTGGCCAAATCTGATCGTTTTCAGTTTGTTACCGCCGGGCACATAGGTGACAGACACCTGTGTTCTGAGCGGGAGGAGTGGTTTGCAGGTATTTGACCCCCCACCCCCGTCCCGCACCCGCTACCCTTCCTCCTGGAACACGAGGCGGAAGCAGGGGGCCCGGCTTCTCATTCACACACAGGGACGGCCGGGGCCCCGCCTCCTTGTGACCCTCGGTGCATCCCCTGGGGCGGGAGGCGGAGGGAGGCGGCTCCGCCTGCAGGTGCCTGCAGCCCAGGGTCCCCTCAGCGGGAGCGGTGAGGGCCCGGAGAAGCCGCGCGTGCAGGGGGACCCTCTGTAAGGTGCGGGGCGCGCTGTGGCGGCCCTGGGGACGGACATTCTTGATGGTTTGGGCGTCATTCTTAGAGTTGGTGGAGTTAAGAGTGTGATTTGTGCAAGCTGAGGGTGTGAGAGTCAGATTCGGGCGGGCTCCTTTGTATTTATTTGACTGTAGCAAAGGAAAATCGACGTAGTAGGGCGTTCATATGCATCAGAACTTTAAGTGATACCAGCAGAACGTTTCCTCCTTGGTGAGAATGGGCCCTGGAGTGGGTGGTGGTTCCCCACTGAGGAGGGAGAGCAGGCTGTGTGCAGGGCCAGGACTGGGTCCCCCGGGGCTTCAGCTCCTCTCACAGTCTCCCTGGGCCAGTGTCAGCAGGGAGAGCCCGGCCCCTGGCTCGGGAGGGGCTGACCCTCCTTCTCCAGGTTTTCTGTGCACCTGGGCGAAGCAGCTGCGGGCTGACCTGCTCCCATGTGGCCTCTCTTCCCTTCTGTTTCCTTGGTGGGCTTTTGCTGTCATTGGTCCACACATTTAAGAAAATTGATCCAGTATTTGAAGGTGTAAGAGTTTTATTTTCTTGGTTGTTAACCTGATAGGAGTGAGTGATCAGGTAAGGAAGTCAAGAAGATGCCAGAGATAAGATTTGCATTATACTGTTTAAGTTAATAAATATAAATACCATGGATTCCCCACCCAGAAAAGTAAACAGGCATATCTGGCCTCCCCCTGCTGCCCCCCAGAGGGAACTGTGTCCTGATTTTTGTTGTTACCCTTTACAGCTTTACCCTCTGATGTAATTTACTACCAAGCAGCGTTTAGTTCCATTTTCCTGCTTTTAAACTTTTAGTCAATGTATGTTAGCCAATAATACAGCGTTAAGATATGCCGGACCACACTGTTTGACCCGACCTGGTTCTGAGGCTGTGTTTCACCTAAGTAATTCATCCGTTTGTCTTTGGGGCCTCTGTTGTTTTAGGTCTTTTGGGTTTTTTGTTTTGCTTTGTTTTATCCTGAACTGCAAATACATAGTAAATTATCTTCACATGGTGAGACATTGCTGAGTTGTAGATTATGGATGTGTAAAATCCCCCAAGGAATTCGCTCTGTGACGGTCCCACCTTGGGAGTGGACACCCAATAGGATCTGACCCTTCTTTGCTCTTCTCATGGTAGAGATGCAGGGCTCCTGACGCTGTGTCTCTGACTTCTGCACCGGGGCTTGGGTGTCAGAGGACTGACCCCAGCCCACGTTAACATTCTCCACGGTGGGCAGAGGACCATGCCAAGGCCGGTTCCCAACTCTCCTGCCCCTGTGGCCTCCGGCAAGTGAAACATCAGGGCCCAAGCGGAGGTCAGCTTTGTAGCAGAGAAAACAAGGAAAAACGACGTTTAGATTCTAAATTTTCAGGGAGACACAGTAGGGGGACAGGAAGTGACAAAAGCTAGACTATGGAAAAATCTTTCGTTTCTGTCATGTTGATCTTCCTGCAATTGCTGTCGTGTATTTTAGTTACAGGTATGGACGAGCCCTCTAAGATATTGGGGTTTTGTCTAAATCATCAAGTATTTCTTCAAGAGTTGGAATGACAAGGTAAACATCTTCTCTCTCTATCCATGTGGCTGTGTACTGTGTATCCAGGTACCAGCCAGGCAGGAATCCTGGGGAGTAACTGGCCTGGCACAGGGGAATTCCCTTTCGAAATACCGATCAGAAAAGCAAATTCATCTTGTTGGGGAAGGCCAAGCTTTGTGCTTATGTTAGCTTTCTCCTGTGACTGTTCCTCCAGTCTCTCATTTTTCTTGTTCTCCAAGCAAGCCCTTTGTTACTTCCTTTTTAAGGCTAGCATTTGGGCAGGTGCTTTTTATCCAGTTCTCTCCTCTTTGCCTTTCTGATCATACCCGGTGTCTGTCACCGTCAGTCTTTATCTTGATGGATGTATTCCTTGGTAAATCGGCTGCCATCTTGATCTGCTTTATCGTTTACCTGTATTTGCTCAAAGCCAATAAATTCCTCAATGTCTTCCTCTGCTCAAAGCCTACTCTACCTGAAGCCTGTTTACATTTTTCAAAACAGATATTATCCTCATACGGTCTGCCTCTTTCTGTCCTCCATCCCACCACTGCTTACCCTCAACATTATTTTTATCATTTGTGTCAGTTTTTAGCACTTAAGATAAAACCAGTGGGTTGAATCTGTGCCAGTATATTTTGGGGGATGAAATGCCATAGAAGAAAATGCAGACATTGACAAGGGATGATTCCGAGTGTGTTTCCTTCTTCTAGAAAACTGAGGAGCTCGTACCGCTGAAGGCAGTGGAAGAATCCAGAAGTGCTTTGAGGTAAGTGGCCATTAAGTGCGGGAAGGCGGTGCCTCAGCAGAGGGGCACGATGTCATGCAACGAAAACTGACAGACCTGTGGGTCTGTGTGAAAGGTGGTGCTTTCAGGAAGTATTTCCCCCAAGAGAGCACCTGCAGTAATGCGACTCAGACAGTGAGTGTCTGAGACACAGTGGATGAGAAAACTCCGTAGCTATGAAGCATTGCAAAGCCAATGGCTCATGTTGAAGCCCTCGGCCAGGAAAATCAGCTCATTCCACTTGGAAGTGACTCAGACAGCGGAAACACACATATCCAGTCACTGATACTGGTAAATATTTCCTCATGATCGCCAAAAACCGCCAGTCCTTACTAATCAGTGGTGGCTGCGGGTCTGTAAGGTGCCGTCTGTTTTGAACCGAAATCATGTGGCGCCGTGCCTCCGGGACAGTAGTGAAGGGGATGATGTGCGTGGAGAAATCTTAAGCCAGATGGCGAATCTTAAGTGTGAATGAGAGCGAGCCGGCCAGAGCAGCAGCAGCCCGAGTGCCCTAAGCGTGTGGCCCTCGGGCACAGTGTCACACGTGTGAACAGCCACCGCTAGCGAGGCCATGAGTGGGCCCGTGCCACCGCCTTCGCTGAGCTCTCGTCTCCTCGGAAGCGTGAAAGGGTGCTTTGGGAAATTCTGACTGTGAAGAATGTGGAGAAACTTTCTCTCATCACTCACCTTCTCAGAGACGAACAGGGTCACTAATCTCAGAGACGAGCAGGGGGTCACAGCAGAAAACCTGGGGGAAAGGACAGGTGGCGGAAGGTTCTTGATGGCTTTCATCCCTAGAGGACGTGTGGCCGCTCGTAAAGGGATGAAGTCTGAAGAGGGAGGGCTATGCGGGGAAGCCTTTACCCAGGCCCCTCCCATTAGGAGACACGGAACTGCTCATGCCCCGTGCCCCCCACAGCCCCAAGTGTGATTGAATGGCATGAGGTTTGTCGGCTGCGGCCGCCCCACTGCAGGAGGAGCCGTGAGGGGTTCCTGGGAAACAGTGAGAAACACCTGCTCAGCCAGTGTGGGCCGGGGTGGGGGAAGCAGGGCCTGCTGTGGTTTGATGTTCTGGTGGGGCGGTGGCTGGGCAGGACCCCTGGTAATTCTTACCCACAAAGCAGGGGAAATGGAGATCTTAACTCGCAACTGGGAAAGCAGAAGTTCCCCCGTTCACTGGCTTTGGGAGCTGGTTTGATTCTCACTGGGACAGTAGTTCCGTGTGCCTTAGGCATGCCTGCATGGCCTTGTGGGCGTGCTCCTTCACCGCCCCAGAGGGGCTTCATCTGGCTTCGCATCCGTGGGATTGCTCATGCTACAGGAACTTTGTGTGTTCTGAGTGCTGGGCCACCTCCAGAACCATCGAGGCCGAGCTGGGCACTGGGCCCGCTCTTTGGCCGTATGCGGCTCTGTTTCCTTCGTCAGTCCCTTCTATGGCCATAGGCAGATACGATCGGGCTGCAAGACCCTAACCTATGGTAGCCAAACGCTTATTACCAGTTTTGTGGTCAGGACACCTTCCAGAACGGTCTGTCCTTGGACTAGGGCTTTTCTGAGGCAAGACGAGCTAATGAATCCTGCGATGTGGCCATGGCTGTGTGGTGGCATTTAAGACTCTGAACAGAATAGATCAGGCGGCTGTGACAGACACTGACTTGAAATAAAAATGGCTATTCCCAGAACATGGGGTTTTAGGTTACCAAGAACACTCAATGAAAACACCCCCCCCAAATCTGAGGTCTTTAGGAGATCTACATTGCGTTTTAAGAAAACTGAGGTGAAATTCACACAGCATAGTTAACCATTTAAAAATTAATAATTTAGTCCATTCACCATGTCTTATTTCTTTCTTCACCTCAAAAGAACACCCCATAACCTGACGCAGTTGGCCGCTGTTCCCCGCATGCCCCCCACCCTTCCCGGCAGCCACCCATCTGCCTCGCTTCTATGGGTTTGCCTGGTCTGGACGTCGCGTATAAAAGCAGCCATGCAGTTCGTGATCTTTTTTGTGTAGGTTTTAGTTGGCATGTTCTCGTGGCCCATCCGTGTTGTGGTGTGCATCAGTGAGCCATTCCTTTTGGTGGCTGAATGATATTCTGTGGCTGTGTATGCGCATCACAGTTTTGTTTATCCATTCACCTGTGGGTGGACATCGGGGTTGTTCCCACCTTTTGGTTATTGTGAATAATGTTGTGAGGGAACATCCATCTAAGAGTTTCTATGTGGACATACATGTTCGTTTCTGTTAGGTACATACACACGAGTGGAATGGCTAGGTCAAGTGGAAAGTCTATGTTCAACTTTTTGAGGAACTACCACTAAATTTCTAGCACAGAGGTTACACCATTTACATTTCCAACGCAATATATGAGGGTTTCCCATCTCTCCACATCTTTGCCAATATCTATTATGGCATTAAAAGAAATTGTAGCTTTCATAGTTGGTATGAAGTGATAGCTCATTGTGGTTTTGATTTCTTAAATGACCTAAATGTGT